CGATGCTAGGCCGCTGATTGTTATTAGATTGTTCATTTGATGAATATTATGGATTTTTAAATGATTGTTGAACTAAGAATATGAATTAATGAATAATGTTGTTAAGGATATCTAGAAGAACTCTAAAGATATACCCACTTGTATAATGATGATGATTATTAAGGATATCTAGAAGAACTCTAAGATATACCTCCTTGACCAATTCATATTTCGGGGTTAAAACTTACGTACGGGATCCAGACCGGATATCACCCACCCGACAAATCATTGTTCGGTTGGTACGTAATCCACATGACTCATAGGGTGGATTATCGATTCTTGTGTTCTGCATTAAACTATTTATAGTTTAAGGGCCTGGTTAGAATTATTGCCTTAGACTAAGAATAGCTAAGAGCTGAATATAAAATGATGTGGCCTTAGATTAAAAATAATTTAAGAGCATTATTGATATATATTGAATATCAAATGACTTGGAATAAAATATTGAAAATATTTTGAATGTTTGAATCATATATTGTGTGGATGATATCAAATGGTTGATTATGAATTGAGATTCAATTTATTTGGATGTTCGACGCTTTAGATATGCTTACTCAGCTTCATCGCTGAGCGTGTAGTATGTTTTATTTGCTACACGCAGGTAGACAGAATGAGTGAATGGCATGTTCTTGGCAGCGGAAGGGGCGAGACTGTCGTGGTGGATTTATTGAGAAAATAAATGATTCTGTTATTATGAACCATGTTTAAAAATCACTTCTGCATTAAACACTCTGTATTTACTACAATTATGTTTGGAATTTCATTTATGATGAATAAAGTTATTTGAAATGTTTTAAATTATACGATTACCAAGTTAATACTTTAGTTCGGAAGGGGTTGTAAACCTGGACGGATTAGGGTGTTACATCCGTTCTTCGTTTTCACCGTTAAAGTAAACTTCTTACTATAGCTAGTAATTTACGTAAGTTGTTCTTGGGTGGAATCGAGTTTTGGACTATAAATTTTTGTTTTCCGCTGCGTTATCCAAGCCTCGTTTCCAACAGTGGTATCGGAGCCGGCTTACGAAGTTACTAGTTTAGTAGTTTTTACAGTTATTGTTTTTGTAGATTAGTCAATAAATTTTGGAGACAAAAATTTATCCCATTAAAATTTAATTAGGTAGCCATATTTAGATACTGGACCTAATATAATTTTGTTCAGTAATTTTCGGAATTACTGTTTGGGGTATTTTTATATTATTCTTATTAAGTAGTTTATGTGTAGAATACTTGTTATTTGTGCCATAAATACTTAATATTTATGAAAATTAGATTTTATATTTTCTGGGAAGTATTTGACATGTCAATATAACTCAGAAATTTCAAAATCTATTTTTGGAATTAATTTCCTATTTTTCTATTTTTAAATTCGTTTATTGAATAGAAAATAGGAAAACTTATTTTTGACGATCAAAAATTAATTTTAATTCATAATAAGTTGAGACCAGAGATTTTAAGCTTGTATAAAAATTTTCATAAGTTTTAAACACGTAAACGTATTTATTTTGTATTTTTGAAGTAATTGGATCGGTACTATTCACTAGTCCGATTTTTAATTATTTTAAATTGAAAAATTAATATTTTAAATTCTAGAAAAATCATATTCTGGTTCTGGAACTTATTTTTGACTTGGAAAATAAATTTTGATATTTTTGGAATTTCGAAATATATTTCCACAATATAATTTCGGTTTTCTATCTTTGAAAAATGGTTTTCAAAATTTTAAATTTTATTCATTCTGGAATTTTAGGATTTCCAGATTAATAAAGTTTACTGGGAGTCTCCAACAATTAATTGCTAATTTATAAAAACATATATATATTTAATTCGAAATAAAAGCCCTTTTTCGAATTTAAATATATATTGTTGAAACACGGGTTTATCGTGTTTTCGTACTAAAGCCGTGTTTGTTTTTATGACAGGTTTTGATAATGCCAAACCGCCGTGAATGAGACAAGCTGTTAAATATACAAGGCAAGAAATAAGTATAAGAAGAAAGCAAGAGAACAAGAGCTAAAAGAGACCAAGAACGAAGACCTTAGACTTAGCATCGTCTAGTCGGTCTTTATTGTGATCAAGACCGACCCAATCTTTACACCTTGGCTCTTTAGGCTAAAATCCTTCATTGCATTTCTTACATCATAAAAATGTTTTTCAAACTTGTTTAAGTCATTAAAAACACTTGGTGTTCGCCCAAACCAAAAACCAAGCCATCCAGCGTTCGGGCTTCAGAAACCGGCGTTCGGCTCTCGGTTATCGGCATTGGTTTTTGGCGTCCGAACCAACCGAGTGGTTTTCAACTTTTTATGATTGGTTTTCACTCTTTGGCATGTTTAAACGGTTCTCCAACAAAAACACTTCGAAAACCATCTTTCGCTTTTGGTCGTTTGACAAAAATCATTCAAAACGGCATAAACTTGGCTAGCCGTGGTTTTCACTCAAATGACGTGGTTTTTAAAGTGTCTCACTTGATTTCTTAGCCAAATACATCAAATAAGTGTTTTAAACACTTGGTTTTTATTTTGGAGAACTTTGGATTTTTCGGTCGGTTTTTGCATCGGTTGGCTAGGCCGTGGTTAAGGCAAAAACCATGGGTTCTTGACTAACCACCCACCCAGCGATGGGAAGATCTTCCCATCGATGGGTAAGCGGTCCCTTAGCCAAACCAATTTCCAGAACCATGCCAAACAGCGATGGGAAGTTCTACCCATCG